CAAACAATGGAAACAAATTTCCTAGAGAAAGGAAAGAGGAAAATTAATTTTGAACAAAGTACACTAGAGACATAACTATTTTCTTTTTGCTCTCTTCCCAGCCTTTTCAGGCACCATGTCAGAGCCTTTTAAAAAAATTTTCACCAAGTGGGTACCCAATTCCTTTAAGCATCTTTTGGAAATTAGGCCTGTGTGGCAGTCAGTTTGACACACAGGTCAGTGTCTTTCCCTGGCAAGAGCTCTGCTATGCCTTCATCTGTTCAGTTTTGCATACCTGTGATTTTGTCAATGCATTTAGAATATGTGCTTTTTGCATGCAACTAGGATAATAATTGTAAATATGTATATTTGATCCCTGAATTTCACAGTACTATAAAATACAGGATGTGTAGATGTGACTGTGACGTACAGCATGCAGTTTTTATAGTAATTATTAGCTTTCAAAACATTGGGACAAAAAGAAGGTAGAACAAACAACAAGTGGCATGTGTTTGATATCAAATGGTATAAGAACCTGTGAAACTTTTATTGCCCTTTTCTTTTAAAACTTAACCTGTTACTCATCTGCTCTTGGGTGATGCTCCAATTCCATGAACAAGTAACAAATGCTTTGTACTACTGCATATTGGCGTGTTTGCTGTGCATTTGTAATTTGCTGAAGCAACAGGCTCCTGCTGCAAGGATCTGTTACCAAACCCTTCTCTTCTTTGTGTGATATCTTCTCATATAAGGGATCAAACCTGTCTCATCCAGTGTATGTGCCAGGAGTGTGATCAATGTGTACTTAAACACTTGGTGGATTCCTTCCTTCGAAGCTGTAAGACTATTTTTCTGCATCAGGAGCTGAAAGGAAAGGGTGTGTGTTCCCCTGATTTGTTTAAATAAATGTCTTAAATATTTAGCTTTAGTATGGGGGTGGTTTTGTTGTTTCTAATAATATTGTCTTAGGCAGAGATACAGGAGGATGTCTTTTGGGAAACTTCCCAGCAAGTATCTGAGCACTTTTGTTTGTGGGACACCCTGGACACCTGTAACGATTATTATTTAATATTCCCCTCTACAACTGTGTCACCAAAAATTCAGTGGTACAGGAAAGCAAAAACCTGCTTTCCCTTATAGTTCTCCAGGGCCCAAACACTGGACTTGTTCTGTAATCCTGGGTAAGCCACTTAAGCCAGTTATGCTTAGGTTTTTCCTCCTTATTAACTGTTGATTCATTGTCTTGCACTGGGGAGGACTGCTAGGAATTCAGTGCATGTACAATACCCTGTGGTGAATAGGGTCATCTAAGGACCAGCTGTAGAAAATTTGGCTGCGCTCCCCACTTTCCTTTTCTCCTTGTCATTGGGCTGTGGAAAAAAAAACCTACCCCAAAGTTGTCATGTGCTCATGGTGGTCACGGTCACATAGATAAGGGCTTGGCTGTCAATAGTATTTTAGCCATGACTTTCCTCTACCTGTTTAAAACTACTTGTGGCTACAACGAGAAGCTTTCCGAGACAATAAATTGGAAACTGTGACCCTGTAGTGCTGCCTTCAAATAAGTATTTCCCCTTTCCAGGAAAGGTACCTTGGGTCTGTTCTTCTGTTTGCTGAAATTTGCAGTTTCTGTGTTCAGATTTTTCATTCTTCAGTTTCGAGTCTTTGAAACTATTTTGGTGCTTGAGTTTCACATGTAATTATCAGTCTCCAGGAACTGAGTCTTAAAATAAAGTGCCAGCTGTCACAAGCATCAGGAACCAAATTGGAGGGGCTAACAGTCTACAGACATAGGCAGGTGACATGACTTACCCTGGGCCATATGGCCAGCTGAGTCAGGATTAAAATTCAGGTCTCATGATTTCCCCAAAGAATGCCAAGCCTCTGGGATTCAGTTGACTTTCTGCAACAGTTTTGCACAGGACAAACCTCTGTTTATGCCTCAGGTGGTTAAGAATATTCATGTAAGATTGGTCTGGGTTACTTCAGTGCAGAAATAGAAAATCTGGTGTTAGCTGTCTTTATGGCAGTCCATTTCCCATTCTGTGCTGTGTCTGAGAGGACCAATGTTTGCTTTCTAGGCCGTGGGAAAGTTGTGTTGCAGGAGCAGGTGAATTTTTGCTTGCTGAGCCCCGGCACGCACCATGGTAGGAGACACCCAGTGTAATCCATGGGACCTGAAGCCTGGCTTTCTCTCAAGCTGTGTATCAGGTTGTTCAGGTGTTGAACACTGCCCAAATCTGGATTGTGCAATATCAGAGCTGACCTTGAGCACAAGCAGCCAAACCTGTGGGGTGGGAGAAGATGGGGCTGCAGAAGAACATTACACATTGGGGCTGACCAGGGTGATTGGAGCCCACTGGTGCCCCCAGTGCCCCTGGGGCTTCCATCTTCCAGGCCCTGGGAGAGGACTTTTTGGTCTCTAACACAGTTCCCAGATGTGAAGGTGGCAGAGAAGTCTTGTTTGAGCTGACGCTGGGACTCCATCTCGTGGAGTTGGTGCTGGTCAAACCATGTACCCAGAAAACTGTAATAGTCCCATGAAGCTTTGTCAGCACCCGCTGTCTGTAGCAGGCACAGCATTTCTATCAGTATGTTCATGTGAACAGTGAATGTTTCGATACAGTTTCAAAGGGAGGCTGGGCAAGTGTCTTGGAAGATAAGGAAGGAACAAGGTAGCTCAGGAATTGTCCCAGGCTGACAGTGGATAGTAGCTGACAGGTGTCTTCAGGAAAGTCTTCTCTTTGCTTGCCCTGCTGTTATTCTTCCCTCACCAGTCATTCATGGCCACTGTTGAGGGCAAGATGCTGGGCTAGACAAACTCTGCCATGACCCACTGTGGACATTTTGAGATGGAAATCAACAGCCCAAGATGCAGAGGTTGTCCTGACTCCAGACTAGGTGTGGAAATTAATTCTTAGCTGGTGGCGACTCAGTATAACTGCATTTTCCTGCCAGAAAGTACCTGGGAAAATTAATTCTGTCAGGAAATTTGTGTTACAACCGCTGGCTTTGTCAGCGGAGGTGGTTTGACATCATCTTGCTGGCAGAGCCTGGCAGGTTTGCCTGACCAAAAGCATTATCTGCCTGTACCTGTCTTCTCTGCCTTCACCACTTGTGTCGGGCAAGTGTGGCTCTTCCCAAGCTGATCCTTCTGCACCCAAGCCAGCTCTGCTTGCCTCACTTTTGGATACCAGTCCACAGTTTTGGCACTCTACTGACCTCAGCCTCTTTCAAAGAGGTCTTTCAGTGATGCTCTGCATCTTGCTGATGAAGCTGCTTCCACAGTACTTTGCAGTGATGATTGTAACTGGAGAAGGTATGACAGCACTTATTAGACTGAGATCTGCTTTGTGCCTCATCTGCACTTACATCATGCAGTGCCTTACAAACAGGGATAGAGAGGAAGAGCTTCTCAGTCACAGGCTTCTGGGAAAGAAGTCCATCAGAGTTGTGATGTATTTTGCTTACTGGGGCTCTCTCTTAGTCGTTGCTTTGTTCCTCTACAAGTGCTATCTCACAATTGAAAAAGCCACATCTGACTTGAAGCCACTTGAAGCAGCTTGGATAAGAGACTGCCTGCTCTGAACAACGAATTAATGGGCTTGGTCTTTTACATGAGTAAAGTCCTTTCAGACTTTTGTCCATGTCAGGCTCCCAGCTCTTCTAATTAAGGGGCTTTTAGCTCAGCCAATGTTTGGGAGCTACAGTACAGCTGGGCTTTTGATAAAGTGAGGAAATGCTAGAGGTAGGGATGTAATGGGTTGGATTTCAGCTTAAAAAAAATGTCTTGGAGAGAGAACAGAACATCCTCCTTGTACCACCTTTTGTTTGCTGTAGCAAAGCTGGGGAAACATCAACTGCGTGGGCTGTTCTGGCTTTTGAAATAGAAATGATGAAGCTGATAATAGGAAAGTAAGATCATCCTGACTTCTGGGGGCCTCTGTCTCTTAGGCAGCTAGAGGGATATTTCAGAAAACATATTTTTTTACTCGTGCCTTTTCTTATTCTGCCTGTTTTCGGCAATCCTGCCGTGGCTCTTGCTTTGAACTCCCTTTTTCTTTCCTCCTCTGCTGCTGCCTGTGCTCCCCGTCTGGTACAGGGTGCTGCTTGTGCTGAGGCTGTATCTTTGCAAAAGGAATGGGTCTGGCAATAAACTTCATGAAGGTGGCCTGTAGCAGCCATTAATTATCGTTCATCAATGTGGCTGTTATTCCTCACCATAATCACCTGTAAAATCTAGGCAGCATAAGATACTTGGGTCTTTTTTTTCCCCCCTTTTTCTTTCAAAGCCAGCTTCACATCTTTTGCTTGAATGTGAAAAGTAAGCTGGTGTTCTTCCTGACTTCTTTACTACTTACACATACAGACTTGCCATCAGAAGCAAGCTAACTGTCCAGCTAATAGATAGAATCAAACTTTAATCTCTAGATTTTGCTATTTTGGCTCCATAACACAAAAAATGCCTGGTATGAGGGTTGGTTTGAAAAAGAGCAAGAGAGAAAGACACCATCTGCCTCCTTACTTTTCCTCCTGCTTTCTTCCCTCCTTTCTTCTGCTGTATTCCCCAAAGGGTGGGTCCAGATCTGTGTCCATTGCTTGCCAGGAATGTCTACTTGATTAGAAACATACAATAGTACCCATTTATAGGTAGTCTTCTGCAGAGTTTAATAAATATCTTCTCAAGTGACACTAAACAGAGGTGTCCTGGAAAAACACTGATTTGAAAGGGGGAGCGAAGCGTTCTGCTTGTTCTTTGAAGCAGAACCACCCGCTGGCTCACGAACCAGCAGTAATAAACAGAGTCAAATAGCATGGTACATAATTGCCTTCTCCTTTTGTGTCAGCTTCATATCGTTCTCCCATGTGACATTCTTCCTGGCCATCGTGCTCTTTATCCTCCCATTGTACCAGAAGTGCAAACAGAATTTGTTTGTTATCATGGCATCTGTATGTGGCTTTTAATTTCTTCGAGATTAAAAAAAAAAAAACCAACGAAGCCAACCCGCAAGCCCTCTTTGTCCAGCACTGTTTAAATCTGCTCTCAGCCTGTTTGCACAGCTCACTTCAGCCCTGCAATGCAGAATACAGATCTGCAGAAGGAGAAATCTAGAGCAATTCATGCAAAAAGGCTTTAAAAATGTGGTGGTGTTGCTGAAGAAAAGCTGTCTGGAGGGTGTTAACGTGGCATCAGTAAGCTGGAAGGTGGGTTGGGGTAGGGGTGCATTGTATAAATCTTTACAATCACAGTGCTGTGCTTAAATGGGTGCTCTCATTCCTCCCCTTTTTGCTTTGGGTACTTGTAACTAATGGTAATTATTTTCTTTGGCCTCTGAAATGTCTCTATAGTTGTGTGGTTTCCTTCCTATAAAGGTGAACATTTCAGATTAAAATTCTGTTTGGCAGCTTATGAGCTCCCAAAACAGAGGCTTGAAGGCAATGGGTCAGGAATTCCCAGTGTAGGAATTGTCTGACCTTTCTTTGTGCTGTAATAGCATAAAAAAAGTTGGAGTTATTATTTGGAAAGCGTTAACAAGAAGATGTCAGAGGTGGAAGGCCAGAAAGAGGACCGGGGTGGGAGAGGGCTGGGAGAAACATTCCTTCTTCTCTTTCCTCTGTTACTTTTTCTGCCAGTAAGTAAACCTTCCCCAATGCTGTTATAAATATTCAAGTCTTTTTCCGTTTTACATATACAGATCTTACTCCTTCCTGTCTGCTCTTATCGTGCTCTGGTTTCTTGCAGTTTTGATGTGCAGGTTTGGTGTTCAAAGGTGGTGCAGAAAAGTAACAAGAGGAGCAAAAGTACATGTTGTTAGCAAAGGAACTAAGACCAGACAAAAGCAGCTTGCAGCATTTGAGCCTCCTGTCTCAGCTGATGTGGGACTATCACTGTGTTCCCACACAGATTTACCTTCCCAGTCTTTCCTCTCTGCTGAAACCTTCCTTTGGCAGCTGGCTTTCACCAGCAAAGAGCTCACACTGCCCTGAAGGTCTGACCCAGAGGAGGAGAGATAGCAAAAGAGTATCCCTGCTCAGTGCAGGGTTTGGAGCCCATCCCAAGTGGAGGGTTACTGCATGTGGAAGGCTTAGTTACACCCATGTTGTGTACAGTGTGTACCTACATGTGGTGTGTATCGCTGACACAAACTCCCTTTCGCCCCCTCCGCTCAGTTCATATGAGCATGGAATATTTTGGGTCGGAAGGGTCTTCTAAAGGTTATCTAATCTAGATATGGGTACTCAATATTGCTCCTTCAACTGACAAAGGATGTAACTAGATCATGTGTGGGTTGGAATTGGAGGGTCATGTTTGACAGGGTTTTCTCTGTTTCCTGTCCCACAGCTCTTCTGTTTGCCCATGCCCTGAGGGAAAAGACTTTGAGAAGATGGAAAACCAGAGGGGAGTGCTCTTGGGATATGTCCGCTGGGAAGGAGAAGAGGAAGGGGATGAGGAGGATCAGGTGGCTTCTTGTGTTTCTCCTTCCAGCCAAACGAGTAGACTGCAAGATGTGGAGGTGGAGATGCTTGAGAAGGCAAGGGAGCTCTTCCAGCTGTGTGACAAGGATGAGAAGGGTTTTATCACTAAGGTGGACATGCAGGTGAGAGAAAAAAAATCCTTCCCCTGTTCTGGGAGGATCTGTAAAGTCATGGGTGGCAGAAGTGGGGAGAATGTGCCATGTCTTTACTTTTGGTGAGTGTGGGTGTGCCAGTAGACTCTGTCTCATTCAGATATCCGGGAGCCAAACTGTGCCACAGCCAGCTGCTGGGAACCAAAAATCCCAAGAGGGCCTTGCACCTCCAGGGACTTCCTGAGACAAGTTGGACTGCAATTCCAAATTTTTAAGGAATGCATAAAATAAAAAAAATTGCGACAGTTCTTACAAATAACAAGCATGCAGTGGATGGAAAATATGGGGGAAAAGAATCTTGGTTTAATTAAAAAAAACCCAAACAACAACCCCCCAAAAGAACACACAATGAACAATGCACCAACCTATTAACAAAAAAAGTTGTATAACTTTTTTGTCTCAGTCATGGCTAAAGCCTCATCTCAAAAACTCACTTTAGGCCTGAACTGTAATTTTGCTCTAGAATAATGTGTTTTGCTCCTTTTTGTTAAAAGCAGTATTTGTTAACACAATCTCTGTAGTTCTTAGTGAGGTTTTTTTTAAAGGTTTATAAGGAAGGTTACATGTGGATTGTTTTTCTCTTGTCCCATCTCTCCTTACATCTGTAATTAACACTGACAGGTTCATGCTGCTTGAAATATTGACTCACTTTGTTTGGGGTTGTGTGAAGCTTACTTTTTTGTAGTTATATTAATACATTTTTATTAAGCTTTTATCTAAAGCTGCACATTTAACAGACAGTTATGAGGTTTTAGCCTACACCTCTCTGTTATTTGGAAGTTTCTTTGGGCCTCCTTCCTCCACACTAGGTGCACATGTATTATGAAGGTAAATTACTCTGCTCCTTGCCCATGTTGTGGGAGTCATACTACAGCCCCAGCAGACACAATATGACAGAAGAAAACTAACTTACTGTTATGGACTGAACATTTAATTTATGACCTGCAATATTTCCTGCAAGACCTGGGAACTGGATCCAGATACCCACAAGTGTGACCTCTCTCTCTGGCCAACGGGATGGAGCTGGTACCTGATGTGCCCACAGAGAGCTCTCTTGGGAGCAGCAGTGGTTGTGGGAGGCTGGCAGTGCCCTGGGGGCAGCCACCTCTGGACGGGCGTGTAGGGAGGCAGACAGCAAACTAGAGGCAGTGGTTCTAAAGTGGGGGAGGAGGAGGGTTGAGCTCCCTCCAAACGAAATAACCTGAAATTCCCTCTCTGCGGTTCTGGTTGAATCATCCAGCAGTGGAAAGTGTCGCCATATCAATGGCTCCAGACAGGTGTGTTTGTGTCATCACTCAGCTGTTCTGGCAGACTATCACATCCTGGACAGGATGCAGTGCTGAAAGGGCACATTGCTGTGAGCCAAAGCTGAGGATGGCAGGGACAGTCACAGGGAAGACTTGAGTCATGCCTACAGTTTGTTCATTCTTATGTCTTTGCAGCGGCTCCAGAGTGAACTGCCCCTAACCCTTCAGCAGCTGGAGACTGTTTTTGACAGCTTGGAACAGAACAATAAGGGATACCTGACACCTGTGGAGTTCAGCATGGGACTAGGTAAGGACTGCACAGAGGCAGAGGAAGGAAGAAGCCCACCTGTGACATGATGTTTTATGTTGGTAAGAAAGAAAGTGCGGTGGTTCTGCTGAAGCTGCACCAGCTATGCAGAACAATGCCCCATGCTCAGATGAGTGTCACTGGAGAAGGTGGGTGTGCTATACAGCTATCCCCCTTCCCGAGGCTTTGTGTTGCCTTCTTCCACAACTGTTACCTGCCTACCTGGTAGAGCCAGCTTCTGAACACCTGCTGGAGATGGTACATATTGCAGCCTGTATCTGGCTATCTGATCCACAGTTATTCATCTGGATAAGGACCCTCCTTGAATAAAGGAACAGAAATATGCCCCTTGGCAACTGTCTCCATCTGGTAGCAGTGCTGTTCAAGAGCATCAGTAGGAGTCCTGTTAGTAGGCTAGAACACTGCCAAATGAGCTTTTATATTTTCCTTACTATTGTCTTTTCCAAACACTAGGAGAATGCTGCTCCTATACCAGAGTCCTCACCCAGCAGCACAGGTGCTTATTTGCCTTAGCTGGTTTTAAGCCCTCAGAAAATCTGTACCTGTTAGCACCTTCCTTGGACATGTAGAGGTGTTAAGTGTACCAGGTCAAAGCAAGTGAACACAGATGGTCTAGGGTTTTCAGAAGTGATTTTGCTGTCCTGATTGCTCAGATTGTGGCTGCTCCTGGCTTTCTCACAACTTGGGAAAGAGGGCTTTTGATGCTTGAATTTGAATGGTCAGAAACAACCACTGTGAATGGAAAAGTTGCAAACATTTCCTCTGAATAAACCCAGAAAGCTGTATCTTGGGACAGTCTGTTCCGGGACTGTTTTAAACCACTGAGTGGCTGCTGACTGTACCTGTTTCTGCCTGTGCCCCTATCGGCTGTTTCTGCTGCCTTTGCTAGAAATGAGATAATCTTGTTTGTAATCACAAAAAAAGTGTTTGTAATCACAAGAGTGTGGGCTTTCTTGTCTAGCACTATGTAGAAGGTGAACAGGCAACATTTGGGCACCTTGGCATCCACAGTGCCCTCTGTGTTATGACTTGGTTATTCCCAAATCTTGTTGTTTGAGGCATTTGTCCCAGCCACGGCCACAGATTGGCATCATGAGGGCACCTGCCTCAGTGCCATTGCTAGTAGAGGTAGGCAAGTTTTCCCTTTGTGTAAGGTACCACCCTGTGTTGGCAGCCTGACTCCATGGCAATTACTCCAGTCTAGGCAAAACACTTAATTTCTGCGTTTCTTTTCTTTGCAATCATTTTTTGTGTCTGGAATAATTGAAATCCTTTTCAGACTTCGCCCTTAAATCAAGAGTTTGGCCTGGCATATTGCTGTATTCCTTAGGAATGTACAGAGGGGAATCAAAGCTGTTCAAGCTGCAATCAAGTCTGCTTCTTGAGAGGGCTCCTTGCTCCTTCTAGGATGACAAAACAATCTTCAGATCATTCTCTACCTCAATTTTCCCATCTGTAAAAGAGAGATAACGACATAACGACTCTGTCTTTAAAGCAGACATCAAAAGTGTCTAATCTAACCCCTTCTGCTTAATTAACTGTCTCAGCATCAGGCTTTAAGCTGAGTAGGGCCTGCATCTCCACACTGCAAGTTTTTTTACATCACATTTTAAGAGTGTGAGAGAAGCAGCTCGATTCTGGATGCATGGAGCTAAGAAGTGGTAGAGTTAAGTCCCTTGAGGTACAATACTGATGGATATTTTTCCCCTTAGAGCAGCTTCATGTTCTCATCTGTGCTCTGAACATCCTTGACTCCTGGTCTTGTAGTTGGGATGTCATTTCTGCCTTTTGAGCCAAGCAGATATATTTTGGAAAGGAAGAGTAACTGCTGATGGAGATATGACCTCTGTATACAGGATGGGGGCCTGTGTTTTGGATAGGACTGCTTGATTTGTTTCTTGAGAAGAAGTTGTTCCCAGCACCAGTGTTTGTCACATGCCTTGCATAGCATGAGGTTCTCGTGGCATTAGTGTCACAGCATGAAACAGAATCCAGAGAGCTGGAAGCCCTCCATACGTGGGATGGGGCAGGAGGAGGTGCTCAGAGGGATAAGTTCATTCTGTTCAGACAGTCTACACAATCCTAGCAAGAGGCTCTCCTTGTCCTGTAGCACTTGAATCAGAATAGATGTAGCACATGAGAAGGGAGGGATAATGAGCTCCTCCTCATTTTTAAGCTGAGGAACTGAGGCATGGTACTACTCAGGGCCGGGTGTGCAGTCCAGAGGGAACATGTGGGATCGTTGGCAACTGGAACTCACAGCGCCGCTCCGTGGGAGTGAAGTGACCTCGTGCCGCGTGCTTTCCGTGCTGAGAATCCAAGGCCGCGGGTGATAGATCATCTTTGCACAGATGTGAGCAGAGCCCTGACAGCCTGTCGTTGGGCTGGGAGCCAGCTTCAGTCCCAGCATTGCAGACTGGACGCTGACATCACTCAGGACGTCAGAACGGAGGCTCTTTACTGACCAGGAGCTGTATTCTGCCCCAGCAGAGTGTGGGCAGCTGCTCCTGGAGCTCTGTCAGGCTGCCATGTAAGTAGCGGCTTATTAAATGACACCCAATTTGACTTTTTTCATTCTCCTTCTCTCCTTCTCCTTCCACCAGGGAAGTTAATAGGGATTGAATTGTGTCAAGGGGCTGGGAGAATGGATCACTCCAGGCACGAGGAGACCTTTGAGTCAGGCTGGTCAGATGACTTGGACCCAGCAGATGACGATGAAGAGAAACGATTCTGTTCCATGATGGAGCAGCTTGGAGCAGCCCAGTTGTTTGAAGAGTAAGTAGGGGAGTTGTGTGGCATTACTGTTGCCCTGTTTTGATCTTGCAGTACCAAAACTTCAAAGTACTAGAACAGACCAAAGAGGTGAACTGAGCTGCTTGCTCTCTGAAGCAGTGCTTGGATTTTCATATGCTTGGTAGCAAATGCAGTGAGGTCTGGCTTTTCTCATCAGTTACCAATTACTTTTAGCTCAGTGCTTTTCACAAAGCGTTTCCCAAACTCCAGTTCATACCACAGCTGTAAAATATAACACTTGGTGGCATGGAAGTTCAGCAAGCTAAAAGAAGCATGCGAGGGTTAGACAAGATAAGGAGGATGAGTGTGCTGTCTGTTCCAGAATGATGTGTGACTGTTTATGTGTTTTCAGACAATCAGTTCTGAGAGTCTCCATGTTTAATCTATGCTCAAATTGTTGCTTGGGACTGGGCTGATCTTGAAGAGTGTGAAAGGCTAAGCTGGGCAAGGGATGCTTACCTGAGCCTTGAAACTTGATATTAATGCTGTGGTCATGTGGCCCCAGTAGAGTGTCCTGGCCCCAGTGTCATCTAGCCTGTGTTTAGGCTTTCCAAAGAGAAGTACTGTGCATAACTGGTTCTTACTGATGCACAGCTGCAGGGGCTGAGGTGCCAATTGCATCTGTGGCAGTTATTTTTTTCAGGCATTGTAGTCCAACAGTGTTGCCAGTTTGCAGGGAGCAGCCCAGGTTAGGGAAGGAGGTGGACAGGCTTGGAGACCGAAGCTGAGAGTGAAGGAATTTGCTGCTTTCGGAGTTGCATCTGCCACAAAACACTTTTTTTGTCTCATTTGTATTGTGATGCAAAGCACCTGCACGTTTTTAATGCTAAACAACTTTTCCCGTTCTTGAAAGCTGTTATGCCTCAAATAATTGGATGACACTGTGAAAGGAAAACTGTTCTGGAAAAAGAGTCTCTACTGTTTATAACTCTGCTTTGAGAAGCATCAGGTCTTAAAGTGGAATTATCCTGTGTTTTATTTTGACTACTTACTTGCAATTTTATGCAATGAGTTCAGTAGCTACTTCATGTCATGCCTTTGTAGCAAGCCAGCTGTTGTAAAGAAGTAATATAAAACAGAAGCTAATGGGGGTCAGAGCAGAAATCTGAATTATTTTCACTGTTTTCTCAGGAAAGAAATGGTTTTATTTACTAACAGGACTCAGTGTGGGTTTTTTTATCTAAAACACGAAGTTCTGATGAAGTGCTACAGCTTTTTCAGCTTGGGAAAGAAAAAGGAGGCTGACATGCAATGGTGGCAGAGGAAATCAAGAGCTTTTTGGTTGTTTATTTTGTTTGCTTTTTTCACAAAGGATATTAAGGGAGGCAAATACATATACAAAAAAAATCTATTTGGATAATATCTATAGGTGTAATTATTCTGTATATTTCAAAGCAATTCCCCCAAAGTACTTCATAGATTTTAAAAAACCAAAATATTTCTTCCCTAAAAAGAAGCATGAAATGATGTCTGCAGGCTTATAAGACTCTTGGGGAAAGAGTAAGTTTATAAGTGCTGCGTTGAAGGTGCAAGAAATTAAATGTCAAAACAGTGTAATCGTTACTGCAGGTTTAGAAAAAGGAGACTTCTTCTAGGGCTTTTCTCCATTATTATTCTGATTAAGCACCTAAGCAAATTTGCATCTTTTTTGTGCCTCAGTTTCCAAACCCATTTAAAAAAATAAGGACAGTAGCAGGACCAGTACAGTCCTGGTGTAAGAAAAACACCTGTGATGTGTGCTAAAATCCCTGAGCTATAACAGTTTGTTGCTTGACCATAACTCACAGGAAATTTGCTGAATATTCATCTCTTCAAGTCTTAGTTTAGACACAAAATGTCTTATTGCTGAATACTTGGGAAAAATAACTCCAGGATGAACTTTCTAGATGACTCCCTTTATTTTAATCTCGCAGCAGATCCCACTCCACATGCGTGCTTTGTCACTGTCCAACTTCCCTCTTTGCTCTGATGGTGTAATGGAGGTCATCATAGGAGAACAGCAGTTTGTCCTGAGTGCATGTTGGAGTTGGGATAACAGTTCGTAAGATGACACAGAAACTCATTTGCTTTCCTTCTCTCTTGTATGGTTGGTCCAGTCCACATGAGATTCGGGAGCTCTGGGCTCGGCTACGAAAGGAGCGTCCAGAGCTCTTATCCAATTTTGAAGAATTTCTATTGCGAGTTTCATCATACATAAAGGAGGTGAATCATGAGAAGGAGTCCATGGAACAGGCACTGAAGCGGTAAGGAGAACATCATGGCCATTTGCTGTCAAGAACCAGCTGATTCTTGGGTCCTGCCTCAAATGCAAGGGGAGACTGGGTTACAGGATGTAGAGATTTTTCTTGCTATAATAAAATGACCCTTGATCTGATCCCCATGAGTTTGTTTGGCATCAGTGCCCCCCTGTAACACATGGTCTGGTTAAAATCCCACTCAAGGCCACACAGATGTTAGTAGGAATCCATTTCCACCCTTCTCTTTCCTTTCTGTGTTCTTTTTCTCTCCTGACCTGTGTGCACCTGCCTTTTGTAGGAAGGAGTCAGACCATGACCGAGAAGTAAGGTGCCTTTATGAAGAAATGGAACAACAGATCAAAGCAGAAAGGGAGAGGCTGGTCTGCCAGGTACCTCATCTATCTCTTGGCTAAAGGCAAACCTCCTTTGGTCTAAAGCAGAGGTGGTGGCTCATCTGGCCACCAAACAGCTCTTACTGTGCTGGGTGTTGTATGCACAGCTTTGTATCTTTACCTTTGCAGGAAGCACTGAGACATGACAGGAGTAACCTGCTCCAAAAGGAACTACACAACAAAGAACAGGAGCTGGAGAAAATCCTCTACCGCCAGAAGAAGGTAACACAACCCAAACCCTTCTTAAACAAGCACATTCCCTTCTGCTGTCTTTCTGCTAAGGCTTTTTCTGTTAATCTACTCAGGGTTAGTACTAGCTGCTTTGGCACTAGCTGGTGTAGTTCTCTCCTGTTTCTAAAGGTGTTGAAATGGTTTGTCAAATAATTGGTTTGTCTTCAACTGTAATGCCTTTCTGTGAATGTATTGTTCATGGATTTTCTTATCTGCTTTGTATTCTCTTGGGACAATCTACCTATCAGTTGTACAATACTGGCAAGAAAGACAGGGTAAAAATTTGAAAGTTGTGAGTTTGGAGTCTTTTGTGGTGTATAAGGAAGATGGGTATGGACATAAAAGAGCCAGATTTCTCTAGTTTTTGTTTTCTGACTGCTCCAAAATTACCTGTAGTGAGCAGTTCTGTGACACTTTAAAGAGGTACATATTGTGGATTTGCATTTGGGCACTTGATATACTGATTAATCAGTCACATAAAAGATCTAAGCACAGACTTTCCTTTAGCCTGCCATCCGTGGCATGGACATTTGTATGTGATGGGCCATTCTGAATGCCTTCTTCCTTGGTGTCTGAAGAATTGCTCCGTGGCCCCCACAGAAACAAGTCATGGCAGGCACCTGTAAGATGCTGGTGACTGGGGGTATCCAAGTTGGGTACATATCTGTGATGTGGATGAAACAGCACTTCTCTGAAAACATCAGCTCACTGTACAGCAGCTGGAAAAGCCAGCAAACCTGAGGTGCCATCAGGAAGGATATCAAGATAATGTGCATGTATTTTTCTTGCTGCTCACATCTTTGAGTGCCTCATTTGGTGAGTGCAGTTCTGGTCTTCTCTAATTCCACTGTGTCCTTGGGTATGAAGATACAGAGAACTAACATTACTACGGAAATGGAGCATCTGCCTTAGGAAGGAAAACTGGGAAAGCTTAGACTTGATTTTGGAGAGAAGGGGACTGAGGGAAGATACAAGTGAGCTTTATGAACTCGGGAAAGTGACAGATAAGGTCCACATAAAACTGCTATTCCCCAAGTCCTGCAACAGAAGAGAGGAGGGACACTCAGTGAGACCAGTATGAATTTGATTTAGAAGACCGTACTTCCTTACACAGAGATTAGTGCTGGACTTTTGGCCATAGGGGGCAGGGAGTATTGGCAGTTCAAAAATTAATTGGACAAACAATTGTACGATAGGCTTGTAAATGTTTGGTAAAAGGAGGAATAGTCAGAGATGTGGCCTCTAACATCCCTAGTCCAGGGACCATGGATGCTGGGGGCGTCTTGCTATGGGTCAAGGCAGAATACTTGGGCTGCATAGACATTGTTACTCAAATTGTCGTTTCTGATGCCCTTAACTCTGAGCTGTGTGGATAATCGGGTCCCTCTTGTGGTGTAAGACCAGTAGTGTGATTGTGCTATTCTACAGTATCACCTCCAGGTACAGGCAACATAAACAGGAGAGTTTTATGTGATGGAGATTTCTTAGGGAGGGGCAGTTGTGCTTTACTTAAAGCCTGTCCCTTGGCTTATTGAAAGTTCGAAAGGCTGTAAGCAGGGGTTTCTTAGTCTAAACTCCACTGCTTAGCATATATGGTCATGCTGAAATTCTCCCCAATGTCCAAAGACTAGAGGTCTCCAGGCAAAGCTGGGTGTGACTTGCCCTTGTAGCCTCAGTGGGAAGAGGTGTAGGGTTTGTGTTTCAGGGAACCTAGGAAAGGTCAGCTCTGTTCATTCCTGCTCATGACTGTTGTTCACATGTGCTGGCAGAGAGCAGGGTAGCAAGGAAAAAAGCACTTTACCTTGTGCCACACTGTGCTGCTTTATTTTTCCTTTGAGAGGGGGAGAAAGTAGGCTGAGAGAAAAGGCAAGCTGAAGGTGTAAATGTGGAGGCTGACTCTGCCACCTGCTACCCTGATAGGACCTGATTCCTGGCGCTTCTCTCTGTAAGCATGGACTGTATGCTTTTATTTTGGGCTGTAAGCTCTCAGATGGTGCTGCAGTTTCTGTGTAGCACCAGCTTCAGCAGAGGGCCCTGGTTATCTGGTCTGGCTGGCCAGATACTGAAGTGTCCATATGATCCTTCTTGCAGTGCCCTACTTGTCATCTGAGATGGGCAGGTTTGACTGCTGCATCTGTCTGTGACTCCTTCCCAGACTATGCCAGCCATGTGTGAGGAATTGAGTCACTGAGTATGCTTGAGTATGTGACAGCAGGCTTTCAGCTTCCCAAATCAGGCTTGTTAGTTGTGCTGGGGGCTTGTGCTGTCTCGAGTGCAGCTGTGTCCCAGTGGCATTTAAACAGTATATCTGTCTCCAGCAGTAGTAAAGGCCACCTGATCACTTGACTTTCCAGGTGTAGTGTGAGATGCCCCCTGCACCTCGATATATCCCCCTTTCAGCTGCCGTGGGCTCAGGAAGCCCCTAAAGCAGAAGATGCATTTCAACAACTGTGCTTAATAGGTCCCAACAGACACATTCCCGCTTCTGCCCAAATTTTTCCAGTCCTCCTTTGACCCTCATTTGTGCTCTGATTTCTACTGTGCCTGACAGCAGCAGGCTCCTCACGCTGTCTGAAGCACTTCCTCAGCTGTGCCTAATTGTATTGCTTGCTCCCCTGTGCTGGCATAATGAGAAAGAATTCCTTCCAGTTCACCTTCTCGATGCCACTAGTGGTCCTGCAGATCTAAGTTGTGTTTAACCCCTTCTGCCTTGTTTACATTTGCTTTTTCAGGTTGTTTTTACAGGCATCACTGTAGCACAAGACCCTTCTTCTCTGTGTTTAATCCCTCCTCCTCCTCTCACATTGCAGCTGGAACATCAGCTGCAGTCACTGAACTCAGAGCAGCTGGAGACCCGGGTGCAGAATGAAAGGCTCCGGCACCTGAATGAAAACCTGCTGGAAGAGCTGGAGAAAAGCAAATGGGAGCTGGAGGCGGTGAAGGGGCAATTACAGAAGCTTCAGAAAGAGGCTCAGCTTGAGCAAGAGCAGAAGGACAGGTGGGAAAGGACAGGAAAGGGGGTGTCAGGGCAAGGACACAGGCAGAGAAGGAAGGGTGGGCAAGCAATTAAAGAATAATGATCTCTAATTAGGAGCCTTGGTCTTATTAGAGGATTGCCTGTCTCTTCTTGAGGAAAAGAAGAAACATCCCAATGATCTTATGGGCCTAAACGGGGAGTGATACTGCTATCTCATGCCTACCTTTAGCGGGAAATGAATATATTCATTGATATTTGGCTAGAAAATCAGTGCAAAAGTACAGCCTCAGCCTAAAGAAGTCGTCTTCTCCATGTATTTTCCAGTTCACCATCACCTCTATAGTGCTCTCTTTAAAGATACTCTTCTAATCACTTCTGTTCCCATTTCTGGGTTAAATCTAATAATACATAGATAAAACATTGGGATGTTTCAAATCCAGATGGCAGTGATCATCCTCCCCATCTCTAGCAGCTGAGGAAATGGAGAAGGTGGGTTGCCTACCCTCAGGCTAGAGGAGAGCAGGAGAGCTGTGGTTCAACCCAGCCATCCCAGCTCCCACAGCAGTGCTGCTTCCTCTGAATCCTCCTAGCATAAGGCAGGCCTTTATCTTTGAGAATACCATGAGTGCCCCTGAGAAAGGGATCTTTGTATTTTCTCTCCCGTTAATTTATTTCCCCTTTTAAAATCCCTTTCACCCAGGGATGTGTTTAGAGTCTCCAAGAACATGCAGAAAGAGAAACAAAGCCTCCTTCGCCAGCTGGAGCTCCTCAGGTAAGAGCAAGGCTGGAGGGAAATGCTGAGCTCTTATGTATGTAAGGGGCTGAGGTTTCAGAACTGTGCTCATTTCTCCCATGGAAAGCTACGGGATTGTATTTAAGCAGCGCTCAGACTCTGCTTGTTTTTCTAGGTCCAGACAGAGTTGTGCAATCTGGCCAGCTCTGGCAGATTACAGACTCTGTTATTTCAAGAGGTAATCTCTCCTCTGCAGGAATTTAGTCTTTCCCGCTGGTTAAAAAAAACATGTGGAGCCCATTACCTGAGCTGGGATACACAGAAATCCCAACATGTCTGGCCTTAAATAGCATCTTTGCCTCAAGCTGCCCTTCTGTTCTCACTTTCAAATGTTCTCTTTACCCTATTTTGGACAAGTGCCTCATTATGTCTTTCCTATGTCTTCCTTTGGAGCAGAGAGATGAACAAGAAACTTCGAGATGAGCGAGACGCTTTTGAAGCCAAGAAGCTGGTTAGTCTAAGAAAGAAAATCCCAATTCCCAACCACCCTCCTTTCATCTGCTGCTGTTGCTGTCATCACTTGGGGGCCCGTCACTTCCACGGGGGACAATGACCTGAGCTCACAGGGCCTGGTGTGCTACCTAATACAGACTTCACAGCACCTCTGTGTCCGTGCTGGAGACAAGCACTGCTGGTTGCTGTTGCCAAGTGCCCGAGTTTAACCCCAGGCATGTTGGCTTGTGACTGTCACACAGCCCTGTGCAGGGCTGCAGTGGGTGCTGCCTGCTGCACATGTGGGGTCTGTGTGTTGTGACAGGCAAGGAGGGGAGTAAAGCTGGATGCGTCCCTGGAGCTGGGTGGTGAGGAAGAAGATGGATTCCTAGATGTGCTGCTGGCTGACTGGGTGTGTAGGGGCACACAGGAAGGTTTTGGAGTTTTTCTGACCCCTTGAGTTTGTAGCGGATGTTTTCAGATGTTCCTCTGGAGCAGCTCCCCATTCCTGTGAACTCTGCAGGGTGGAGGTGCAGCAGTGAGCCTTGTGTCAGAAGGCTAGGATAAAGTAGGGCCTCTGACATCTGGAACAGTCAATCTCTGGCCTTTCCCCGATAAGCACAAATATGGGGTCTATTTTTAATTCTTACTGTTTTTTCATGAAACCGTCTTTGCGTTCCCTAATGTCCCTGGCAAGGCTGCTATGTCCTCTTAAACCCATCCCTGCCACCATGTGTCTTTGCCTGCTCTGCCACCATGCCCCACTTGAAGATCTGGATGTAGATGCCTTGCAGTGAGGACAGGCAGTGGTAGGCTGGGAGAGCCTTTCTGTCTGATTTGTAAGGGAATGTGGAAGGAAGCATAGGGATTGTGCTCAGATAGGGAGTGGAATGCCCTGCTGGGAGAGAGGCTCGAATTCTTCTCCAGGTGGAGAGCTGTATAAAATAATGTCAGTAACTCTTTTGGATGGAGACGAGATGTGTGTGCATATGCCTTTGTGTGTGTGTGTGTGTTTCTGAAAGCTGAAAGATTTTTTTTAATCTCCATTTTTAAAGCTGCTAGCTTTGTGTATGTGCACCAGAGCTTCCTGCTCCCTCTTGGAGAAGCAATAAACACTGTCACTCTGTAGCAGAGTCCAGGGCAAGCAGGCAAAGAAAATGGTTTCATCTCCTCTTTCCATGTGTTGTGCCTCATCAGCTTCTGGGTTCCTGTGGGTGGGATGGGTGGCCTGTGGAGACCACAGCTCAGGTATGTACCTCTGTGTGTACAAAGCTTGTCTGCTTCTCCTCTGTTCTCTTCTCCCATTCCCCTGCTAGGTCCTGCTGGGGGCTGCGCTGAAACATGGCAGTTGCAGGCAGAGCCAAGAGAGAGTCATAGCACAGAGGAGCCGCTCTCTCCCTTCTCCTGCCACTGGCAGTAGGGAATGAGGCAGCAGGGTGAACTCCTCCTACCACCATTGCTTATCTGTCAAGTCTGTGTCATGCTGGGCAGTTGAAGCCTGTACTGGAGTAAGGTTTTCTTCCTCTGGCCACTCTCGTTTCAGTCCGCAGGAAAGCAGGGCTCCAAGGGATTGCAGAGGTGCTGCTGTCATCACACACCTGCAGAAGATCTGCTGTCCAACCTGTCACACTGTAAGGGAGAGAGAAAATATCAATACTGCCCTACAGCAGCAAAAAGGAGAGTTCTGATGGGGATCCCTACTGTGCAACACGCTCTCTGCCAGAGACTATCATTGCTTTTACAGGCTGAAAAGAAACCCAGGACCTTAATACCCTCTGTTAGTACTGGGAAGAGTTGTGTTATTTCCATGAAGTGAAGGTGTGATGAACAGAGTTTCTTTCATAGCAAAAATTTTGAAGTGGTTGGAAGGAGGGATCGGGCTGTTCATGGGTAATAGCAACCCAGTCACTGCTCCTTTGCTCTTCTCAGTGCCCAGCTTAATACCTTGCTCTTCATAAGAGTTTCTGGCCTTGCCAGGGTGGGCAGGGCCTGGCCCCACGTCACTGTGGGGCGCTCTCTTGTCCCAGTGTCTGGGTCACAAACAGTGATGTCTGGCTGTTTCTGCCTATATGCAAACTACGGATGGATATTTTTAAGACCCAGGGATTGCAGGTTTAGTTTCACACCCATGACCCATCTGGCTGTGGAGTTATGCTTGCACGCTGCGTGTTGACAGAGCAAATTTCATGTCTGCTCATCATGACGAGTGTTTTGGTACTTAAACTACATTGGACATGTGTTTGTATTTCACTGATAAACCAGAATCTTTCCCATCCAAAATGCTTGTACATGTGCTGTTGTGAAATCCTTGCCATCGTGTTATACAGCTGTGATGTTGTCTTGTCCCTTTACCATCCTGGTAAAATGTTGCACAAACCTGGCAGGCCAATAAAGCATGGCAGAACCAATGGCAGAACCTGCCCCATTGTTTCTCCTTTCTTACCCAAGTATGTGCTTTGCAAGCTGTTTCCTCTCCAGGTAGGGTTGTGTCATAGCACATTGTGTGAGAGTCCTTTTGCCCCATAGGTGACTTGAAGGTTGCAGCTGCTCCACTGGCCTGCAACACAGTGTTGTCCTTTCTGTGTAGCTAGAGGGTGCCCTTGAGGGAACCTGCTCAAACACTGAAAACTTCCTCCTCCATCCCTGCTGGAGAACCACTGGTTGTCTGAAACACAGTCTGGCTGTGATGACTGAAGTGATGCTATGCTTTTGGGAGTCCTTTGCCTTGGAAGATTTGTACTCCACAGTTGTTAGCCTCTCAGTGCTGGATTGTTTCTGTGGCTGGAGCTTTTCTTGAACATGTTTTACATGTAAAAAATGTTTTGTTCCCCTCCCTTCCCCCTAAAGTTCCTAGTTGGGTGAGGCCCTCTGTGGAATCCAGAGTGTCTGCTTTTGTTCAACTGAGTTGCAGTAAAGGTGTTCTGGGAGTTCTGGCCAACAGAACAGCTTCTTAATTTTTTTGCCTCTTAAAATAAGCCTTCAGTAAGGGTTACTGAAGAAATAATCTTCATAGTCCTCCCCCAGGGCTGTGGGCAGTACAAAGGAAGGCCTGTCCAGAGCTACCTGCAGGTGTTTGGTCAGTTCAAAACTGCTGTGAGAGGCAGATCTGGCAGGCTGCAAACCCTTCTTTCCACACCTTTACTCCCAGAAATAATTTGTGAGGGCGCATTAGAGATCTCCAGACTTGCAGACTGGATACATCTCCCTTTCTTCTAGTGCCGATGCAATGGGCACCTTGCTGTGCTGTTTCAGTGTTTTATGTGTGTGGCCAGAGCAGTGAGCTAGTCTGTTTGGGGTGGGGTGAGGACTAGGCTTTAGCATGGCATTTGGAAGATTTGCAGGTCAATCCTCTCTGCCACAGGCTTTGCTGTGTGATTGCAAGCAAGCTCCTCATCTTTGGCTCCACTGGGAATGCAAAGCTGCTGTATGGGGGGAAAAGGGTTGTGAGAGAAGTGGTCCTGCTTTCTCCTTCTCTGGGGAGCGAGTGAATACTGGCTGTAGGAAGTGTACAGTCTGAGGTAAGTTGGAGGAAAGCATGGAGAGGGATATTCATGTAAGGCAAAGCATGTGCATTGCCCTTTGCAGCGTGGTCTCCTTCCTTTCCTGTGGTTCATGTGCAGCTTTGGGTGATCACTGGTGGAGGAGGGGTATTAGTGTCTTCTCAGGAGGGGGCAATTGGCCTGTCCCACAAAACATCACCATAAATAAAGAGGGAGGTGGGAGAAGAGAGATTCAACTGTGAGACCAAGTGGAGAACAACCGCAGAAATAAAAACTCTGGCTAGAGAAAGAATTCAGTTTGGAACATTACTACTTTTGATGAATTATGTTGTGAAGGAGACAGCAGCAACAGTGATGGCTTCTTGCACGAATTAAATTATCTGAACTAAAGAAAGCACACCCAGTGCTCACCTCTGTTTGAACCTTCCAGTGGGGCACTACCATTGAATGGTGTGGGGCTGCAAGGGCTCCAGCCTTGCCTCCCCGAAGTGCTCTGCAGAGGTGGTGAGTGGTTGAACAGGGGCTGATCAGGTTCCTGGCTCGTAATCATATTCTTCATTCCTTCTCTTTTCAACTTCCAGGTGCCTCAGAACAAAAAGCCCCTGTTGAAGAAAGGCTCAGTGCTAGGCAGTTACCTGCTGGACGACAAGCCAGTCAAACGGTTAGATGGGTGTCTGTGTTGTGTTCATGGTGTCAGTCTATGCCCACTGGAGTAGCCTGTCAGTCAAACTGTACCCTGTGTCTAGTTCTCCCACCTTGGTGCTGGCTGGTTTTGGGAGCACGGAGGGATGTAGCTTTTCTATGGCTCGAGCTGCCTCTTGGCATCAGGTAGTGTTGGCTCAGCATGAAGCTGAGATACCATTAGCTAACTTCCATGGGGAGGTAGCTGCCCTGCTGCTTTTAACTGCAGCAATGGGGGAGCAAACCCAAGTGCCATCAGAAGGTTTGGGACTGTTCATGGGAAGGGAATCACAAAGGCTGCCTTTAACCGAGTCAGGCAGCTCTGTTGAAATGACTGGATCAACTTCCAAGTGTGCCAGTTCCTCCTCAGGCAGAAATCCTGTCCATTGGTGCCTAATGCCAGAGCCCATATCCCTGGGGCATGGGAGAGGGCAGGACTTTCACTAGGCTTGGATTCTTTCTGGCAGGTGAAGGCCCCAAGGTGAGGGCCCAGTTCCAGGTGTGTTCATCTTGCCCATCTCCCTGTACACCTATGCAAAAGCTCAGCTGGCACACCAGTCCTCCCTTCAGGCAGGGCAGGCAACATGTCTGTGTGGCCAAGGCCTTTTCTTCCCCCCCTCCCCCATACAAGCAGACTATGCAGTTTCTTCAATACCCACGTATGCTTGCCTGAACCATGCTGGCGTTTAGCATCAGCCCTTGTGAACTAGTTGTGTGACCAGCACACTGGTATTGGCCAAAAGCCTGGTTCCTCTGGGAGGCAGGGGAGGCCAGCCCAGCCCTGACTTGGCTTGGAGCTGGATCTCACCTGCAACTGCTGGCCCCAAACAAGTTTTAAAGGCAGCACACTTCCTTGTCTCTTACCAGGTCTCTGCAGAGGGTTCCATTGCTCCCTGGTTCCTCCTAGTGCCAACCAGAGACATGGGTTTAGGCTCAGAGTTTCTTCCATCTTCAACCCACACTTAATGTCTGCAATTCTGGTAGTGGCATTGAGCTCCAGGCTCCTTAGCTCATGGACTGGTGGAAAACCAGGTGGATTGTGGAGCAGGGCTGACTCTTTGAGCCCAGGAAGGGAGATTGCTTGGACAGGTTTGAGGCAGAGCTCTTTCGTGGCTGCGTGACTGGCACACATGCTATCCATCAAATCAGACTACCAAGTTCCCCCGTCTACCTCCCCGAGTATTTCTTGCAGAGATCCTTCTAGCTGCTGCTGGCATAAACCCACTGAAAAGGCTTAACAGGTGGAGAAGTCTGGCAGTAAGGGTGATGTGAGAAGGGGAGAAGTAGTTGCTGGCCCTGTGTCTGTCCCAGTGCTGTGTCACACCACATTGCTTGAGAAACATGAATAAAACCAGTGAGATCTGAAGTCACTATTCAGAAGGTTTTGTGTTTGTCCCTTACCCTCCTCTCCTTACCCACCCCTCCCCCCCACAAAGAGGCTCTTGAATCTCAGCTCCTCATTTCATGACTTGTGCCAGCCTTGGGAGATGGGGGCTGTTCCTCAGAGCCTGAGTCTGGGAGTATGTGTTGATTTTCAGGGGGAGAGGTTCCAGCTGGCCTGGCTCTAGACTGGCATTCAGGGCAGATGTGGGGAGGACAACCAGGAATGTGAGCTCCCTTTCATGGAAGTGTAGGCATGGCAGCAGGGGAATTTTTCAACCCGGATAAGGTGTACTTGTAGGAGTGAGAAAGGAGAGTTGTCTTGATTCCTGCACTAGTAGCAAGAGAAAAATGTTGCAAAGTGAGGTGGAATGTACTGCCTCTGAAGAGACTGACTGTAGTAAGCTCTAATTTGCTTCCAAATGCAATCTGCTGGCCAGTGAAGGCAATGGAGATGTCTGTGGTGGATAAAGCCCTTTGGTTGAGTTTTAAGTGTTCTCACTCCCTTTGGCTTTTTGTTCCTCCTGCAGAGCAAAGTGCATCACCCTGCTCTTGTGTGGGCACAGTCTGTGCAACACCTATTCCCAAGTACCACAGCTTGGACAGGGTTCCTGGGCATTTGTTGCCATTCAGAGCCAGTGTGGCTGGTTGGAAGCTTTAAAAAGAAACATCTTTCAGGTCCCGGCTCCCATACCTTGGCCAGATACAGATACGGGCCAGAGCAGAGCCAACACCAGACAAAGTGACTCTCACCTGTGTGAGAATGTTCACTGCAATTTGCACATCTGTGGCAGGTTTCTGCTGCCTGAACTCAGTAAGACTCTGGGACAGCAGTGTTCGGGAGTGCTGGGCAGGTTCCCTGGAGCAGGACTGTGTGCCCGCAGCAGAGGGCACACTGCGTGCAGCCTCCCTGGGATATCAGACAGTCCTCACGCCGCTGCCTGCAGGCAAAACCCTCTTCACTAACCTCAAAACCTTTGTTACTTCTTCGTATTGTGTTTCGTAAGAAAAATAGTGAGGTATTTTTTGCCACCTTTTTTTTTTTTTAAGGTTCTCTTTTTGCCACCTTTGTATGTTTTGCCTCGGGGCCCCTGGTGGTCTAGTGGTTAGGGTGCAGGACTCTCACCGCTGTGACCCGGGTTCGATTCCCAGCCCCCCGGGCAGATGGAGCTCGTCAGCCCTGTAAGGCAATCCATCTAAGAGAAGGTCACTCTAAACAAACCTACGTCCTGGGGACCTCACTGCCACTGTCCAAGCTTGCTCGGCCCCGGCAGATGAACCTCAGGATTAAAGGGTGGGCTCAGTTCAGCCCACGCTGGGTCTCACCTAAAAAATCCACTGCGCAGGCTCGAAGGGTTAATGACCTTTCTCAAAATCTTCGCTCGCGAAGACTGGCCATTATATGTTTTGCCTCATTTTTCAGTACTGGGGGAAATGGGAGGCAAAGAATTCTTCAAAAAAATCCAGAAGCCGGCAATTTTTATTAAAACCAATGAAAAATTTGTTGGCACATATGAGTGCAGCACAGCTCAGGTGAGCTGTCTCTTTTTCCTTAGGGGTGCCTCTGATGACTTAGTCACGGGGAGTGTGGGGAGTGTATGTATGAAGTAGAGTTCCTGCAAGCACTGCATATGCACTAATTGGATTGTGCTGGTTGTTTTGGGAATTTGCAACCTCCTCCTCTTCCCTATCTCTTTACTCCCTACCCTCCCACCCTGCCTGTGATGCTTATGAGCTTTAATACAGACAACTGGCCTCTGCGGACCTTCCCTTCACCTTCCCAGCGGATGTGGCAGTGGAAGAACCCAACAGAAAGAACTGTAAATACTTCCCAGGCAACGGGACATGGATGAAGACAGGAGAAGGCACAAACTTTGGAGACAACCCTAGAGACAAGGAGAGATGGCCCTTGGCAGCAGATACTGAGTGGTTTAAGATGACTTTGAAGGGTGACACTGACTGCAGAAAAAAAGCAGATGGCTTAGATGCTGCTCCGCTGCCTCCTAGAGCACAGCCTGTTGGCACTGAAACCAGGGTGAGTGTAGTCACTTGGGGTTCTTCCTCAAACACCTGCTACCAGGGACTTGAGGGTTTCTGACTCTCTTCCCATCTAACTCCAGCTCCATAGGTTTATAGTGCAGGGGCCCAATGCCTGCACAAATGAAAGCACAGCCTGCAGCTAGGCTTTTCAAAACCAAGTCCCTTTCTTCCATTGTAGCTCCAGGCACTGGAACCAGCCAGCTGTTCCCCAGATCGCATCTTTAAAGTGGTGTTTGTAGGGAACTCTGGTGTTGGGAAGAGTTCCTTCATCCACCGCTTCTGCTATGACAGGTTCTTGGCTGAGCTCAATGCAACCATTGGTAAGTAATAGGGTCCCTGACTCATCTGGATAAGAAGGGTGGGAAAGTCAGCCTGGACAAATGCTTTTTTGCCTGTATTATAGCCCAACTAAAGGTCAAGATGGTCCCTCTCCCAGTATTGAATCAATCTTGCAATTGCCCTGAACTAAACAGAGTTGATCCCTGGCCATTGTAATGGCAAGCGGCTTTCTCCCTCTCCTACCTTATGATCATTGTTACTTTCCTGACAGGTATTGATTACCAGGTGAAGAGTCTAATGGTGGATAACACCCAGGTTGCCTTGCAGCTGTGGGATACAGCTGGACAAGAAAGGTAAGTAATTTCTCTGAGGGTGCCCTACTGCCAGACTCATTGTAGGAAAGGGAAAGTGCATGCAGCTGGTTTCTACCCCTGGGAAAACTGTTAACTTCAGAAGGACCAGAGAGGTCACAGCAGCTATTCCAGTGCTGAACCTGCAGCAAAGGCCTCTTTCAAGAGATTTCTAGAAGCTTTGGCTGTGAAGCAGAGCCTGGGGAGATCTCTCTCAGGATTGACAGAAAAGTAGTTTTCCATATGTCTGACGTGCATGCTTGTGGCTCCAGGTAGTCGGTCCATAGACACTGTATGGTGTGAGGTTCAAAGCTCCTCCAACCCTCAAAGCTCTCCTGCATCAGCCTACTTCTGGGAAAAGCTGCAGGACAGGGCTGCAGGTTAGGATAGAAACTAAGGCTCTGGATAGACATTCTGTTCTCAGATTCAGCTGTGCTACTCCTATCCCCAGCTGCTCACCTCACCTGCTATTCAGGGGGTGGGAAGGACTGTGTGAACCTTTCCAGGTCGGATTCAGTTGTCAAAGCCAGCTGCATTAGTTTGACCTGTGGGGAAGGTGATTTGAACTACCCTGTTGGACTCTGTCAGTGAGGTTATTGGCCCCTCCCACTGTCCCTTTTTGCTGATAGACTTGTGGAAGCGATAATCCTTGGTAGAGGGACTGTGCAGCTTTTTGTGACAGTGAACACAGGTTCCCATTTGAAGGCCTCTAGTTTCGAAAGCATGGGCCATCTCTAGATGTTATCAGCGCTGTTGGTGAGGATCAGAGTAGTAGAGGATACACTTGACCCTCATCTGCTACTAGAGATGAAAGCCCATCATTACCTTCATGTAAATCACATTTTACTTGGGATACACTTTGAAGCTTAAGATGCAAAGCTATTTCAAGGGGACCATGAACCTCAAGGGCCAGACAAAAATAAGTACTGGATATTTAGGGCTAAATATGTTATGGGGGCAGGCCTTCAGGAGGCAGCTGAGATCATGGGAATATTATAATCCTAAACTATGCCAATGACGCTGTCTGCTCAGTCAGCTAGACCATGCAGACCTGGTGGGAATGTACTAAGTAGGAGTATCTTATTGAAAAGCAACTATCTCTTCCAAAATCAAGCTTCATGCTAAAGAAGTAATGATTTCTGAAAGGACTCCTGTGGATATTTCGGTGCTGAAACTCAGCAGTAAGGGGAGTTATGACATAAAATGTGACATTTTACTGGGGCCAGATTGCATCAAATTCAAGAGATTGTCTGCAGAAGGATCTTTAGCATTAGCAGGTCTTAGATGTGTGCTTGAAAGAGAGAACTTGGCTCAGTGCTGATACCAATTAGAAGACATGGGAAGAAGCAAAAGCTTTTACTGCTTCTGGAGAAAGGTGCATGCTACCTTTTGATGTTTTTTCTGGAGCATCTGGTCTGTCTGGCAGGTCCAGAGATGCACCTTGACTGCCAAAGACACAGTCTGTGCTTTCTCAGTTGGGTAGTTGCCAGAATGTCATGCCCTTATTGCAGTGAGAAAGAACAGTCTCCAGGCAATCATCTGAAGAGTTCAGGAGGGTCACATCTTGCTGTAGGTTTTCTTGGCTCGTAATAGAATAGTAGAGTTTGCTGTCCTGTGCAGGGCTGAAATACACAGCTTTCCAGTGAGATCTCAGTACTTGTGTTACATTTAATTCCATCAGTTTGCAATCAGTGTGGTTATATCATGGCTCTGTCACAAACTGCTTACAGATTTTTAAGGTTTGAGTTTGGTTTTTGGTTTTTTTTGTTTGGTTGGTTTGGTTGTTAGTTTTGGTGTTTTTTTTGGGTTGGTTTTTTTTCAGTTTTTTTGTGTTTTGGTTTGGTTTTTTTGGTTTTGTGGGTTTTTTTTGTTTTGGTTTTGTTTGTTTGTTTTAGTTTTTTGGGGTTTGGGGGTTTTTTTTGGTTGGGTTTTTTTTTTTAATTTATTCAAAAAATACAAGCCTGTGGTTTTAATTGGTACAGAGAGGACACAGTAGATGTCTGGTGGGAGTTTTTCCTGGAAATTATGTCTAACTCCCGATTTTTTATTTATGATGGCATTGATTTATAGATTCAAGACTGTAAACAGACTCTATTGATGCTGAGATCTTAATTGCTGTTTTGGCAGCACTGGGGCAGACATTATGCATGCCTAGTTTGTACTGTGGTACAGCTTAGTCTGCAGATTCTTACAGACTCTAGAGAAAGATCATGTTTTGTCCAGCACTTTCCCTTTTCATAAGCAATTTCCTTTTCCTATCCCTCCTAAGCAGATTCTTGTTTCTTTCTTCCTCACTTGCAAAGGTCTTCCTTCCTGCTTTCTCAGAACAATGCATTTGGAAAGACTCCTGCTTACCCTTGGCTGCCTGGCCTGCCTCAGGAGTGCAAGGATCTGACCTGTCGCCAGGGTGTACACACCAGCCCCAGGGGACACGCACGGGGGCTGCCAGGCCTTGCCAAGGGCCTGCACTAAAAGACAGATAATCCCACTCTATGTTTCTTGTCATTACACAGCCGTGGTTCTGAGAGTGCCTTTGGTTTTGTTTGGGCTCAGGTTTCGGAGTATTACCAAGCAGTATTTCCGGAAGGCAGATGGGATTCTGGTGATGTACGACATGACGGCCGAGTGCTCCTTCATGGCCGTGCGGAACTGGATGAGCAGCATCCAGGTGAGAGCGGGACTGCGGCTATCCAAGCTCGTGGTGCTGCCACTGCCTTGCTCCAGACCAGTTCCAATAGTCTGTCTGGGAGCGACGTTCCCCAGCGCCCCAGGAGGTCCTACTGACCTTGTGGAGTTGAATTATCAAAGCAGATGCTGTGGGTACTGCCTGTGGGAGTCAGGCTGGGACCAGGGGCTTTGTGCTGAAGATACCAAAGCCAGTGTAGGCCATTGAGTGAAGGAGGGCTGTTTCTGTGGCAGAATGTGGTGGGACCTGCCACAACAGTAGTCTGTGTTTGTAAGCAGCCCATGTGCATTGGCAACATCTCCTAAACATGGTCACATCACACCTGTGCTCAGGTAAGGAGATGTCCTGGTGTCCAGCCTATGCACAGGAAAGGGAGACAGCCCTGATGCATTTAGGCTCAGACCTGCAGCACAGCACTTTGTATGGTCACATCCTGACTCTGGATATTTCTAGATGGGACTGCATTATTAGTAATAGCTTTTTTTGTTTCCCTCATTTGCTCCAACTTTAACAATTGGTAATTTTTTCCTTTTCTATTTTTTTCTTTATTTGGTAACTGTGTATTAATATTGTAACTTGCCCTCCTGCCTTTTATTTCCAAACTCTCAAAAAAAGCATTCATCTGTGGCTTGTATCTCCTTGGGGAGACAAAAATACCCATCTATATGATTTAAATAAGTTGGGTGTAGATGAACAAGATGTTGAATGGGAATTGTGAAAGGTGGTTTTGTTGTGATTATGCTGAGTCTCAAAATAAAACAAGATGCTTGTGAAATGAATAAGCATAGGATGGAGGTTTCTAATATTATTAACTTCCACAGGCTTGTTGGGAAAAACAAACAAACAACCACTCAGCTATTTCTTTGGACTCTAAAAGATCAAAGGTTAAGATTTTCAAAACTAAACCAGCCTCTGAAAATCAGGCTTCTTTCAGGAAGGTTAAACTGAGCACACAGAAAATCAAAGCAGGCAAAATATGTAACTTTTAATATCTCTCTTCTTTTCCTCTGCCCATCTGTGTACTTATCTTGTTTTGAAGCTGTTCAGGTACTGTATTATGTCATCCAGGGCACTCAAGTTTGGAAATAACTTTGAGCCCTATTCTTACTCTGGCAATGTTCTAGTGAGCCAGTGGAACCTGAGGGAGTTTTACCAGATGTAAAGGGTTCCAAGAATAAACAGTCCCTACCAAGACAGTTGAGTTGAAAGTTGCTTATCTTGCTTGGCCAGTGAATTTTTAGCAAGGGATCCCTGAGTTGACGACAGCACATCAGAGGAATAGTACCACACATACACACAAAAATTATCGAACTTATTAAGAAGCTCTGCCTGATCTCAAATTCCCAGCAGCCTATGGGGCAAGCTGCTTTTTCTTAGGCTTGTTATTTCCCTGAGAGGAACTTATGTCCTGTCTCCCCTCTCTCAGCATCCCAGCTGAACATGACAAAGATTTGGAATACATTCCAGTAGCTTAAGCTTTCTTCCATAAATCCCTGGGGCTACTGAAGGAATGGCCCTTTATTGAGCTAAAGGGCCAAATCGTGCTGCTGAAGGTCTTGTTTGCATGAACTGGAAGGATCTGCTCTGAGTTACTTCTCTCCTTCAGCTGAGTTTCCAGGGTCCTTTACTCTATTTCCTTTGCAGGAAGGTATCGAGGATGGAGCTGTGGTCTTTCTGCTTGGAAATAAAATGGATGCTGTGCAGAGAGAGACCCGAAATGTGCCCAAGGTGGAGGGGGAAAGGCTGGCAAAGGTGTGACTCTGCTCTGCTGTTTGACCTGCTCTGCAGCCTCCCTCCAGCTGTCAGCAGGGCAGCCTGGCTGGCAGAAAGCCCTTCTTGGAGCCATTTTCCAGTATGGTACCTTGCTGCTCTCCCCCACCCCCTGGTTTCTCCAATGTAAACATGTACCAAGGTCCCTCTGGTACCAAGCAGGATGAGATGGTGGCTCTTATGTGGCACACAATGGCCCTTGAGGAAGGCTCTTTTATTTCTCTTGAGGCTTAATGCCTCCTTATAGTCTTTCTGAGGAAAACTTGCATGGCTGTTTTCCCATCTGAGGACTCCTTACTGTAATATCATCCTGCCTTTTCCCTCAATCCCTTGTCTGCATGCTTGCTGGGACTTTGGCCCCTGGGTGGGGGGAGGCTGAAAGTGGTTTCAAAGGTGTTCCCTATCTTCTGAACTCTGCAACACAAAGGTAAGGGAATTAAAGTACCCTGAGCATATATATTCTCTTCCCAAACAACTTCTCCAATGCTCCCTTTTGGATGCTCTGTCTGGGCCCCCAGTGCTGGAAAAGCATTTCCTTTTTCTAGGCTGGTGAGGGGGTGATAACAGCCACTCTCCTGGCCCCAAATGATCTTGGAAGAGTTCCTGGTGGCGGGCGTGGAGTAGCTCCCAAGGATGTGAATGAATGGTGGTGGAAAGGTGGCAGCCAACATGGGTGCTTGCTGTGCTCTCTGGCAGGAATACAAGGCTGTCTTCTATGAGTGCAGTGCGATGACTGGCTATAACATCATGGAGCCCATGCTGCACATGGCCAGGTCAGTGAACAGGAAGTCACCCTGGGATATTTTCCCCACTATAGGTGACTGGTGTGGGCTCTCCTGGGGAATGGCCAAGAAGAGGGGCGTGTCAGAGACTGACTTTCTGCCATGTCGCAAAAAAGACCTGACTTCCTGACTCTGGGTCATTGTCTTCTGTGCCTGGAGAGCACCAATTGTAGGCTGGACACTTTCACACACAAAATGTCATCTGGCAGAGCTGGCTGTTGCAAGATTGGGAGTTTAATTTGAATATTTCACCACAAAAACCTTGTGTACTATTATAGATTTTAAGTTGATGTTTTGGAAGTCTGCATGCAGCTCTAAGGGTTTTTTCTTCCCTGTCTTCCTAAGCATTGTACTGACTGTGCTATTTTGGTGGCAATAGTTTTAAAGGGAGATAAGACACTTTGTTAGGCTGAAAGAAGTTTGCGCTAAGATTTTTAGTTTTTTTACAAAAAGATAGTTTTGGAAAAAAAGTATTTGAAATCTTGCAAGGAAATTATCCTTTTGTCGTCTTTTATCCCTTCACCTCCTCCTGCACATCATCTCTGTTAAATCCACAGCAGGATCTAATTGTTCATTAACTGGGATGATTTACTTATCAGCTAGGTAAATTGTGTCTCCCATAGCACATGCCTTCAGCGTGCTTTATTACCATGCTGCTGCCCAAGATGGCCCAGACAGGTGAAGAAAACAGCCCAAGAGTCTGAAATCAGTGTGGGAGTGGAATAAGGCACAGACCACTCACACCCCAGTCTGGTGCTCTGACTACTTACCCATGCGGTCCCCTCTTGTATATGTCCAGTTTCTTTCCCTGTTCCCTGGAAATTCATGCTTATTTTCTGTGTGTGGTGGTTTATCTAGCCCAACGTCCAGAGAAGTCCAGTCTCTTGGCCAGTCATTTCTTACAATCCTAAATGGCTGGTGGGGAGCAAAGGGCAGAGGCAAATGCCTTGGCAGGAAGAGCTCAGTAACCAGGTTGTGTTCTTGGTCTGTGCTGCTCTTTCCAGGTTACTGACAGCACAAGAAGACAGGCAGAGGGAGAATGCCCTGCAGCTGGAAGATATCGGCAGGAGGAAAGGGTGCTGCACATAAGGCACATCAATGTGTCAGCAAGAGGCATGTGCCAGCACTGTATCATGAAGCTGGGGGTTCCTTTCAAGCAAGCTGAATCCGATGGTATCAGCTCTCCAGAGATTTGGGGAAGCTGAAGCTTTTCCCAGTCTGTGAATTTTGAGGCACTAAATCAGGCCAAAATGTGCATATTATCTGCACTGTTTCATTTCCCAACTCTGCATGCAGCCCTGGTCTCTGGAGGCCTCTGCTTCTTTGGGGGAATTTGGCTGGTCTTTGCTAATAGGACAAAGTGGGCCTTCTGTCCTGTTTGCTTCCCTGTAAAGGGATGAAGTCTTGTTCCTTTTCTCTCTGGTAAAGAACTGGCCTAGCAGCAGAGAGTGGAGGACACAATGGTTGCTGTCTTAAGTAGAATTTTAGTGTAAGAGATAGAGCTAGCCCAAATTTAAGTTTCTTTAAGTAGTCATACATCCATCTCAGAGAACAGCATCTCCTCTTGGCTCTGTGACAGTAGCGCCCAGCTGAGATCCTGTTGTGGTGAGAACGCTTCCACCACTTCCTGTAAGATCTGGATAAGGCCCTGTATTTACTCCAAAATTAAGTTGGACTTGTCAATATTGTAGTCAACTGATTCCATGTGTGAATATGGTATGAACTGATAGAATGAGTCACCCCAGTGGCTTTCATCTCATTGTTACCCTAATGGACCTTGTCACTGTCCCTCTCCTACTGTTTACTGAACACAGAGCAGTTGCCCTGGGACTCACAGGTGCTGACATGTGTTGCTGATTCATAACCCATTGCCAGAGCTGTGCTGTACAAACTAGGGGAGCCATATATAGCCTGTTTTAAGGTTGAACGCTGCCTGTTTCCTCCCATTCTCCTATTTTTTCCTGAAGAATATCCGGCAACTTAGAACTGCCTTTCCCGCAGTGCTTTCAAATGTACCTGGGCTGGAAGCACAAGGCAGCTGCTTGTGTCAAATGCAGCTTTTTCTCTTGCAGTGACCTTGTGCAACAACCTCACTTTCCTGGTGAAGGGCCTGAGAAAGAGCTGGACTGAACCTGTTTCCATTGGGAAGGGGCCTTCTTGTTGCTCAGGAGTGGGGAAAAGTAGAGTGAGGGGAGGGCAGGGCTGAGGTAGGAACTGGCCCCAGCCATGTGCCTGTTGGCAGATCTGCAGCTGTGCCTGGGCATGGAGCACCTGGTGTGCTCTGAGGTGTGATGCTTTCTGCTTTGTAGCTCGGTTGCTCTTGAAGCCTTGTAGGACTAAGTGACCTTTTTGGTAATGCTCTGTTCCCTTTCACCTTTGAGCCTGTTTATGCGACTGACATTTTAGGCACAAGATGTGTTCCTGCAGCCTTGAAGCAGTCCCCCCAACCTTGCAGCATGGGAAGGCCTGTATTTGTCCACCGTCTTTCCTCCCTTGGGATAAGGTGGTTACTCTGAATATCTATTTATTGCTCAAATTTCTTTGGGAATATCCCATGCAGGAAAAGTGCTCTGAGTCACTTACAGGCCTCCAGTGTTACAAAGAATTTCCATGGTTCCTCCTGGTGCCCTTTACTCCAGATAGGAAAGGAAGTTTTTCTCTGCAAGAGCAAGATTTCTGAGTAAAACGAATACCCAAAAGTAATAAGCTCCTGCTTACTGTTGTCTGGCTGTGGCTCACATTGTGTTTAACTGCAGTAATGCCTTCCAGAAACTAGGAAGCAGAAAGCTAGAAAAGGTCCAAAACCAGGGTAGCTAGTGTGGAGCCTAGATAACACCAGCAGTGCTGCCAGTGGGACTCCTTGTGTTTGCAAGAAACAATGTGTGGGAATGGAAATCATCTCTGTTTTCAGAAAACACCTCTAATCTGGACATAGATGTGACTTTCTAACCAGTGTGGGTGTGAAGGAGCACAGGCATTATCACCTGTTGAACAGGTCGAACCCACCACCTGTGTTAGGGGAGCTCCAGGTGCCGGTTAACATGGAGCAGCTGGCCAAGAATTGGTGTCTTTGGTCGTGGCACATCCGTAATGCTAAGTTACTTACCTGCAGCAGCAGGATTTGGGAAGCTGCTGCAGAAGGAAGAGAGCAGTAGCTGATGTTCTGAACCTGCGCCTCCTACACTCTGTACAGAGCACATCAAAGACAAAGGCATGAAATTACAGCTGACACACAAATACAGGCAGTCTGTGTAGTACCTTGATCAGTGCTGTCATATTGCAATGGCAAGAACTACCAGGTTCTTTTAATGTACAACCTTAAGTGTGTTTTCTTAGTGTGCAAACAGTACAGATAATAAAGAAATGCTGTCTTACAAACCATTGTGTTGAGAGATTTTTTTCAGATGCTGCAAGAGATTCAGCCTCCCATCTTCAGTGATTGTAGTGACTTCTCACTGCTCAGGATGTTGCCTGTCCCCCATGATGGTACATAGGGGGTCTTGTAAGTAGGGAGAGAGTCGATCAAGAGCCCATGTCTTGGAGGCAGCAGAGGAGAAATTAATCTCCAGTCTTTTTTTACCTCTTTCAAGCAGCCAGAGTCCAGCTGATCAGGGAAGGCAGAGCAGGGACGAGAAAAAGGGGAGATGCTTCCCCAATGTCTGGGTGTGTAGTGCTTTCAGAGAGGGCACGTTCTCACCTTGTTACCTATATCTGAAGAACTAAACCTTTATTTTATTAATGTCCTATGCATCCTTTTCACTAGAGTTATGAATTTGGTTGCTTTTAATCGTTGTGCCTTGGCATGGCTCCAGCTGGATGTTCGTGCATTACAGAATTAATCACTCTGCAGTTTTGACCAAACAAATTATTACTCATTTCCCCTGCTGTAATTTGATAACACAAGTAGTTAATTGTAACTTCATCTTTTTTTTTTTAGCAGGAAAAGGTGGATTTTTGTTTCAAGCATGACACAGAGTTTGAGCAGGTTGTGCTTGGACAACAGTAAGCACCAGGATGGGGTTTATTACTGGAAGGTCTTTTGTTGTCTTTTTTGTCTCTCAGCGCAATAATTCCTGTTGGAAGACCCAGATACAGTCTGAAGGTGCATGTTGTTAGTTTTTAAACCTGTCTGATATCAGACCAAACTAGAGCAGAGTTTCCACAAAATTCTTAATTTTACTACATCCTCCTGTTGTGTCAGAATCTCTCCTGCCTCTAAATGGAAGACCAGGAGCAGTCACCCTTTGCAAGTGACTGCTGGAAACTGCAGCAGAAATAAAAAGCAAATAATGGAGACATCCTGAGGTGGCATGAGATGAGTGAGGATGCAAAATAAGACTGCCCAGGGCCTTATTCCTTCACCATATTGGCTGCAGTCTCTTAGGAAAAAAGTGACATTTTGCACATACCCTGTAAGGTATTTTGGAATCCTATCACAAGAAAGTACTCTTTTTATAGCCTAGGAAGCCTTATCCTGGCACAGGCAACAGTGCAGCTGTGTATACAATCAGATTTAGGGGCAAAAGCAAAAAAAAAAACCAGCAGCTGCTCAGATAAGCAGCCATGGTGCCACCAATCTCTGCATGCTGGCAAAGGGACCTCACTCTGCTTTGGGTTTCACTTGTCTCTTTCATGTTAATATGCTAAGGGTAAGCCTAAGAGGATTAGCCTGACAGCATCTCTTTGAAAAGCCAAAACAGGGCTGAAAAGAGAGCATTAAGCCACGGTGTTAAGTTTAAAGCTTTCCCATAGGACAAATGTGGGAATTGCAAAGGTTTGAGATGTTGTTTTCCTCTACCTTCTTTATTCCAGCAGTGTGAACTCCAAGGGACAGTTTCCATTTACACACATTTCATGAGTTCTGGCTATGGGGATCATGCAGCCTGTCATGTCACCTTCTTCTGTTTGTTTCTTTTCATGCTCTTTTTACTTGTTAATTGCTTAGCGTGTGTATATATATATAGAGAGAGAGACACCAAGTACTTAATCTCCAAGTATTAACATATCTCACAGCCCATGCTATACACCTTTAAAGCTCTGTTTGGGAATCTCCCACTCAATTCCAATAGACCCATAGTCCTGCAATTCAGAGCTTTGTTAGCAGATGTTCATTACTTATCTGGCTGTTTATGAGTCACACAGAAATTTCTGTTGGTGTGGCTACAATAATCCGTCTCCGGACTCTCCAGCCTGCAAGGCATGTTTTATATATGTATCAAGCCATGTGGTTTGGTAAGGCCCTGTTCTGCAAACACAAGTGTAGCTGTGTGCTTCTTCTGAAATTACTAGTCCACAGGACACCTGACCAGGTAAAATTAGTCTTTTTGAGGCAAACAGGTATCTCCAGTAAATATCTATTACTCCGGCAGCAAGCTGAGAACTGGGAGTGGGGGGTCCTGTGGTGTATCTCACTTTTAGCCACATGATTTCTGTGCAGACAACACTTGTGCCTGGTCATGCCCGTTTGCTGACCCAAATCTGCTGGGGCAGGGGGTTATGTTTTCTCCTGTTTGTGCATGAAATCCCTGGACATGGCAAGAAGGTAGCAGCCCAGTGGAGCGGGGTACCTGAGGCTCCTCCAAGGAGGGCTGGGGCCTGGGGTAGGGGCTTCCAGGAGTTTGGGGCTTCCAGGCTCTGCCACACACTCCCTGCAAAAAACCTACCAGTGTGTAAGCATGACCTGGTCCCCCAGGGCTCTGCTCTATCACTTGGCCCTCCAGCAGCTCTAAGGCAAAGCTTAGGCAGGATTCCCATCAGCTGAGGAAGAGAGGATTGAGTTTACTTCTTGGGAAGGATGATGTGATTTTTGAGTTGGGCGCATGGAGAGGTTAAATGTCACACTTGGGGCAAGCACCCAGGAGATCCTAAACTGGCATTTTCCCTCGCTCCCTGCCCATACCTCCTCCCTCCCTGACCAGATCTCCTCCCTTCACCCCATCCCTGAAAAACCATGTGAGGCTCCTCAGCCATGGAGGGGAGCAGGCAAGGGCCTTTCTCGCAGCTCAGGGCTGCTCGGCACAGAGGTATGTGGGCTGCGGCTGAAAGTGAGGTAATGGAAGGATGAGGCAATGTGCCAGTCAGGGCTTGATCTTGATTTACAGGGTGTTTCATGGAAAACTCTTTAACAACCAAGTTTGACGCCTTAAAAAAAAAAAAAAAAAGCCGCTTCAGTTGGGAGTTCGCTGTAACGCGTTGCCTGCGGCAATGGAGATGGCAGCGTGAGGCCCGGGAGCCCAGAGCCGCGTTCAGCGCTGCCGGGGCCGCGGTGGCACCGCCGCGCTCGGCCCGCTGCTCCCACGGGCAGGGGCAGCAGCGGCCCCGGGGCGAATCGGGGCCGGGCCCGGAGCGAGCGACGGGGGGGAGGCGGCCCGGGCTAGGGTGGGCTGGGCCGGCCGCGCCTCCCTCCCGCCCTCCTCAGGGGGTGCCTTCCCTCCCTCCGAGGCAGCGCGGCAGGTCGGGGCGTGCGGCGGCGCGGAGCGGCTGCGGAGGGTGAGGCGGGGCGCCCCCGAAATGGCGGCACCGGCGGCA